TCATTAGTAAAGCATAAAAAGAGTCCATCAAAAAGAGAATTTTTTGTTTACCTGTTGAATTGGTTTACGAGTTTCTTTATAAATTTTAAATCAATGATTGTAATTTAATTTTATAGATTTGATGACCTTTATTAATTGATCTTACAGTAAGGTCAAAAATGATGACCTTACTGCAGAATTTGCCCAAAAACTTTGCATTCTCGATCGATTAAAACTTGGTGAGATTACTCTCCACCCTCTGTGTTCTCTTTACGTCTCATTTTACTCATTACAACATATCCTCACTCCTTATCACAAAAATTTAATATTACTTGTACTATAATAACTTATTAATACGCTATAAATATGTGACTTGTTAATAAATTATATATTTATATACTATTAATAGTTTAACATCATAATTTGTTGATTTTGTATTAAATTTTTTTAAAAAAATTATGACTTACAAAAATTAAAGAAAAAGATTAACTTTTTCCTAAAATAAGATTATATTAAGTATAAAACAAATATAATGCCAATAATTTTTTAAAACAACTTGTTAAAACTTCTACAAAAAATCGATTGAAACCGATTTAATCAACTTTATGATTAAGGCGTTTAAGAGATGAAATTCGATCAAGTCAGTTAAAGATCTGAAGACAATTGGTTAAGTGAATTTTTTAGCCGAATTGTCAATCGCTGTATGCGATCAGAAAAGGAATTCAAGCCAGGAGGGAAAAAGCACTGAAGACATTGGTTAGCCAGCGGCTGAAGAATTCATGCGACCAGCATCCGGGTACGTTGTTGTGTTGTGTTTTCAACAAAAGAAAGAGCAGTAATGGGAGTGATTCACAGTAAAAATGCGGCCACTTGCACTATGCGAAAAGAATTTAAGCCGAAAGTAATACACTCAAATCCTATAAACCGTCCCTTGGTAACCAGACCAATTCCACCCAAAAATCCAATCGCCATGCACTTTTTTTCTGCTATACAACTTGATTTCACACTGTTAGCAATTCCATCTATTTACATACAGAAACCAGTAGAGTGATATTTTCAAAAGTAATATCCTCCACTTGTCAAAAATACAACAAACGCGTTGCCTGTCATTCCACCTTCAAAATAGGGAGCTCAAGCCACTAGGCAAATGCTTTGTACTAGCCTTAATGCTTGCAATTTTCAACATGTATGTGTGGAATGGAAGTTTGGAAAAGATTTCCCTTCCTCATCCCCATAAATTATCCCAGCATGTCCTGCTACAATACCTGGCCAGCCCCGCCCTCTTGTCTTGTTTTCCCTTTCCATGTTATCACCAACAATGAATCATTGTCTCTCTCACAACAAATGCTTGCACAGAACTCATTACACAGAACCAGGAGCAGATCCTATAGCTGAGAATCACGCAATAATTACTTTTTAACATTATCACCCCTGATTGAAAGAAGCTCTCAAGCTCTCATCTGGTAGTGTCCAAGACATCAAATGCCCACCAGAATCACCACTCAGCAACTGCTTCAAGTCACTGGTTAAGTGAAGGGCAGTAACTGGGTACTTATGAAACTTTAGTACCTTGTGGAGGACCAATCTGTATTCTGGTGACTTACTCAAATCCAACCCTCCTGTTCCACTGCTAGTTGACTTGCTAATGGTGCTCTCTTCGTCAGTGCAGTGAACCATGTGCCAGACCTTAACAGCCCCACTCTGGTGACCGGTTACATACCAGTTTGTGTCCAGCCAATCAGAAAATGTGCAACTCGTCACAGAGAGTATAGAATCAGATGGCAGCTGGGATGTGTTAATTACTGCTAGACAGTCCCCATTGATGCTCCAGACAGCAAGCAGAATTCCAGCAGCTGTCACAATTTCCCCAGTTAAGTCATTCACATAAACTGCAGAAACTGGTGCTGGAAACTCCGGAAGATGCCTAACAAAACCTAAGGAGCTGAGGTCCCATATGATAACAGTGCAGTCATCTGATCCACTCACAATCAGCATATAAGGCTGACTGACATGAAGACATGTGATTTTGGCTGTGTGAGCACAAAGCACTTTCTCCAACAGCAACCGTCTTGAGGCACGAGGCCCATCCATGCTGATTCTCCAAACAGAAACTAAACCATCATCAGCGCCAGTAACCAAAATGTGACCATCATGACTAACACCAGCACATTGAATCTGGTTTCCCCCATGAAGATTTTCATGTGTTGAAAGGAGTCTATCTTGGTCATAGCTCATAAATCTCAAGCTGCGATCAGGAAAACCCCATGCTACATATTTGGCATACGTTCTAGGTTTGAGCAAAGTGTTTGCCCCAGCAACAAGAATTTTCTCATGGAAAGTGACAATCTGGGTTATGGAAGAAGAGCTTTTCCGTATTTCATGCGGAACAAGAAGGGCTGAATGCTTCAGTGGATGAGGAGGAAGTTTTCTGTCAGACCGCCTTTTCACATGGGGTTTGAGGAATAGTTGCTTAGGTGTCTGTCCAAAATGATTGATCTGAGCAAGAATAGAGGCTTTCATTGAAGGATCTGTGACTGAGTCTATGTCCACACTCCCCTCATATGTGTAGTGGTAGAAAACATTAACAGCTTCTTCAGCCGCCTGTCAGTTGTAATAACAATATACAGAATTACAAGCAGAACAATAAGAGGATTTAACAAATATATCTTGGAATGACATGGATTCGGGATTTTGATTATGTGAGTGGCAATACATGAAGTCCAACTGGGTAATTAAAAAAGAAAGAGAATATTGCCAAGAAAAAAGAATATTTTTTAGTTTTTTTCAAATTAAAAATAGTTGCAACCAGCACTGGCAGTTCATCTGGTGCAACTTCGCAGCAATCCAAAAAGGATTAAGGCAAATTATACCAGCAGGATTGGCATATGACTGAAAACTTGAGAATTTTCAACATTTTTCTCAAGTATGTACGTGTGAGTGTTAAAATGAGTAGCAATTTTTAGAAAATTCAGCAAATGGAGGTCAAAATATGCTTCACAGAGAACGCATATACCCACCTTTCCCCTTTGTTTATAGCCAAAAATGAGGTCTATCCAATGGTGCAGATTTTCTGAAACAAAATCAGATTCTAGGGCTTCTCTATGCTTCTGAATGAATTTCCTAGCACTGCCTTTAGCCCAAGGAGGTAGGACAACATCACCAACCTGGGGAATACAAAAAACAAAAAAACAGAAAATGAGAAATTAGTGAGCCTAAAAGATACTTTATTTTGGCAAATTATCAAACAAGAGATAAAGATCGTACTACATGACTCAAAGTTAGAAAATTTTAACCACAACAGACCTTATCCCCCGACTGTTTCTCTCCCAAGTCAAGATTGAAGCGGTTTTCCAAAAACTCAGGCATGTAGAAGAACTCTGGAATCAGTTCTTTCACATCTGACGTGTTACCCTTCCCAGCAGCACTCAACCAAGTGTCTCTTATGCTATTGAAAAGACGATCAGCATGATCAAACTGGCCACCCTGTAGCTTCTGATTCTCCGCACTAAACGGTGGCAAGCGAAGAAGATAAAAGAGAACAATACCAGCACTAGAATAATGAGAACCATAATGGAATTTTGGGACCTCTGGGTCATCCCAGCTCTCATATCTGAAAAGCAAAAGAGAAGTGGAATGGGTAAGGAATAACATAGACATACAACTCAAAACATACATCTAAGAGACCAGGTTAAATAAACATTCCTCACATTATAAATCATTCATATAACAGTGAACATGACAGTATAACTACTCATCTAAATGGCACACACTACATGCTTGACAAAGATATTATTAAATAGTTTTATAATTAAAAATGGATTTTGAATAAATATTAGGATTCACCTTTTCTTAAATTCCTCTTCCCCTTCTGGTGTCTGACAGCCCATTGGTTTGTCAAGTTTGCGAAAGGTATTGGGATCCGACAAGTCCAGATTTTCGCTCTCATAATCAGCAAGAACCCATGGAAAGACAGGGTATTGGGTAAGATCACTGTATCCACGTCCAGCCAAGGTATTGAGATGCATGAGGTACTGGAAATTGCTGATTTCTCCATTTTGCCACCTCTTCGAGAAAGATTTAGCCATTATTTTGAAAAGACGACCACCCTCATTGCTTTCCTGTTTTGTCGATCCTGAAATGGTTGTGTCCAACCTGATGCAAGGAAATAAATTACAAAGTAAACAATCTTTGCCAATATTCTGAAGATCAGGAAGAACAACAAACACGATAGAAAGAAGCATAAGCACAACAAAGAACAGTATATGAAAAAAAATGATGGCCAAAAGATAGATGATAAAGGAAAGGGTAAACAGAAAACAACTTTGAAATAAACAGAAAGACAAGTGGATATGTCTTTTTCTGTACCTTGATACCACAGCTCATTTTCAGGAAGCAGCTAACCACAACCATAGAGCTACCATAAAAAACAGAATTTAAAAAAAAAAAGAAAAGACAATAAATGAGTTCCATGTTACATACATGCTGTTCCGTGGTAGATTCATTGCAACCAGATTTTTGAAAACTTCATCTCTCTCTCTTTTGTGAAATACCAGTAGATCATTACATCCATCCATGCTGAATAACTCAACAGCAACAGGACGGAGCTGATAATCACGCTTTAAAATCTCATGAACACTATCAAGCTTCCACATACGCCAAGGGTGAGGTAAATTACCACTGCTGACCACTCTCTCCTTTCCCCATGCACCACCGTTGTAGGCCCAAGCCCTTCCCCCTACCAATGTCTTTGGTGTTGTGGTCCAGGATGAAGTTGATTTTGACTGGAAATCCAGACTGCCGGTAACATCCTTCTTTACACCCAATGCCTGATCTATAACAGAGAGTTCATCTTCACATTCCTTCTCACATATGCGCCCAGAATCATCAATGTAAAAGTTCTCTATTACATACAAACATAGTTCCCCTATCAGAAATATACCATCCTGTTTGTCAAGACCTACTACTCGCTCACAGTTATATCTGAATCGTATCTTTTCAAGGGGTTCCAGATAAGGTCTGATTAAATATTCACCATTATCAGGAAGTTCCTTATCTAACTTATCCTCTGTAGCTTTGACTTCATCAATTTTAATAGAAGACGACTGCTTAGGAGATCCAGGTTCAGATTTTCCTGGTATGCTTTCTGATATAGGGACAGAGACTGCACTAGATTTCCCACCAAACTCAAGGGCTGAGTGAAGACTAGCTTCATTTACACTGCTAGCTCTGTCATCATTCCAGCCATTTTTAACAGATGTTACATCTTTCACATCACCCAACTCTTTATACAATGATTCATCATAAAGCTCACTGTCAACACCATTCTGTTTAACACTATCACTCAAAAGATTGAAAATTGCTTCAGAATCAGAATCAGAAACATCTGGGCCATCCTCATGTTTGACTTTGGAGAGCTCTGTCTCACCTAATTCCAACTGCCCATCAAGCACATTTTGGATACTATAAATTCTTAATTTACAGCGCTCCAGCTTTTTGCGCATCCTGTATGGACCCTCAATCGGGCAAAGTTGCCATTCAGGATCTTCAGGCACAGAGGATTTACGAATTGGGAATATTCCCCGCTCATGCACAAGTTGTTGGAGATGGGTTTGCCATTCACTCTCGGCATGGAGCACCCATCCATACTTATCCTGACGGACAACTCTCAACTCAGTAGACATTGTATCGCGAACCATCTCCAATGCATATCTCCTTTCATTCACTTGCTCCCAGTGTTTTAGGTCTAACTTTGAAGTATCTCGTAATCTTCTTCCCATTTCCCTCTTACGACGACCCTCCATGCCTTTAATCCTTACTCCAGGAAATTTTGCTGAGCCAGCAATATACTGCACCCACATTATTGCTGCACATTGCTCCAGTACTTTATTTACCATCTGGTCAGAGCTCTGAAGCCAGTCAAAGAAAGCAGATAAACTTCCAGTCAACAATTTGTCAAAACCACCATGCAGTACATCTAAGTGCTGTCCTTGGTTAGGTTTAGAGACAAGCAAGTCTTCCAGTGAAGCTCTTCGATGAACCAGTAAATACTTGACAACATCAATTGCCATGTTCTGAACATTTCGCCTTTGGTCACAAAGAAGAGAAATTAAATTCACACAAAGACAGCAATTTAGATCGGTATCAAGATTGCTAGGACAAAATATGATTCGTCGGTGAGCAACTAATAACTGCAAAACTGTGCAGATATCAATTCCTGGATCTTCATGTGAATTTGTGGGTGATCTTTTCTTAGATTCCATAAGCAAACCCAAGGAGGAAAGGAGATCATCTTCTCCTATGGTGATCAGGAATGATGGTAGGAAGCAGTACAGTATCATCCTATTTGTATTCTTAAGAATTGAATGTACATAAGCATCAAGTTGCCTGCTTCCTCTTGTAATAGACAAAAGACCTTTGCCAGTAGGAGCTGCTTCTTCAATTCGACCATCTTTGTTTGCTAATTGCAACATTGATAACAAGAACTCTAGAGTTTTCAGTACACCAGCAGCTTGGGGAAAAGCACCCATGTAAACACGATCAACAATCATCCAGCATAAAGCATCTAAGTTTGAGGACCATTTAGTCTTGTCTAGCTTTTTCTCATCTTCTTCATCATCACGCAAGAGACGCCTTTCAACAAAATTCATTAGTCTGCTAAGAAATAAACCTTGGAAAACCAACACAGATTCAGATTCAACATATAGTGGAACCATTTCCAAGATGCTCTCCACAACTTGTGCTGCTTTTATTTGCTCTGTCAAAAAGTCAGCCAGTACTTCTGCTATAAAATCCAACATAGCAGTTGCCCCAGCAGAACAAGGGCCACCACCATAGCCAGAATCATCCATTTCCAGAAGAAGCTTTGGGGTAACAGAAAAGGTCATATTTGCAGCCGTTGGACCTTGAGAACCAGACTTCAAGTCTGAGGTTTGATCAAAATCGCTAGCAGACATAGAAGACTCCATCGAAGGAGTGGCAATTATGGGATTTCTGGATTCACTATGGTTTGCACTTAACCACGAAGTCAAAGCAATAACTGGAGATGAAGGTGTAAGGGGGATTTTGGAATTGGATTTCTCAGATAAAATAGGAGAATCTGGAATAGCAAGAGATGCAGAACTCTGGGAATCTGGTGGTTGAATTGTCAAATTGTCTTTGATACTTTGGAAGCTGAACTCATTTGAGCTTGAGGTGGCAGAAACCTGATCGACACTATCACCATCTATGCTCTGAATACCTTGGACATCTTCCTGCAATGATTTGTTCAGTTCCTGGAATGTAGTAGGCTTAATCTCTTCTTTATCTTCAGCCATGAAATTTGAAGAGACACGCGTTTCTTCAGAACTTGAACTGACCTGTGCTTGAGGGAAGCTTCCAGCACTAATAGAAGTCCTGGCAGACTGTTCATGCTCCACAGGCAAGCTAGAGAATGTATTTTGCGAACTAGCATCATCGTGGTCATTTAAATTCTTCTCTTCTGTCTTTGCAGAGAGCTCTCTTGCCATCTTCACCGAGTGAGCAGCCCTGTAAGACAAAATACAAAGAAAACATGATAACTTGTGAGGCAAATTAGAGATCATGTAGGCATTATATCCTATTATACAATTTTTTTTTTGGAACATTATACAAAAATATGATACGCAATTTATGCAAACAAAATGTAAAAGTATTAAAAGGAGAATGCATCTCAAGACAAACCTAACACAAGAAAAATAAAGGTCAACACAGCTTTCTAAAAACTCTGCTCGTCTGCAAACGGCAGAGAAAGGAGGGCACATCTTCGCCAAATCAACCATAAATCTCAGAACTGAGGTTGCAGCCGAAGGAGCAGATGCCTCCCCACCCATTAAGCGTGCAGCATACGTCTTGTGCATGAGAGCTTCACCCTGAAGCTCCCCAGCCATATCTGCATTTTCTTCCACAAGTTCTGCCACTAGTTGGGAAAGATTTCCAGTTTGGCGAGCAAGAATTGACTGCATGCTCAGCCTATCAAAGGTGGATTTCGCCATAGCAATTATAGATTCCAATAGTTCTACAAATTTCAACTCCACATGGCCTCCATCACTTGGCATTAGTGCATGAAAGTCCAGCATACGGACTTCTGGCAATCTCGGATAAACAGGCTTCCCGAATATGAGGCAGAACAAGATATAATATATATCAGGAGAATCATAGAAACTAGGAAGCACACGCATCAGACCTTGATAACCTCCACTTGTACGAAATTTAAGAGCAAAAGTGGGAGAAGAAGCCAAACACACACCAAGAAGAGTCATGATCCATCTCATACTTGTAGGATGAACAGCTTCATCAAGAAAATATGTTATTAATTTAGAAGAGACAATTTTATGCCACTGTTCAAGCATCTCTTCTGATTTGATGGTCACTTGAAGATCGATAAGCATCTCCAAAAGCATATTCCTCACTATCACATGCTTTCCCATGGACTCACGCATTATTCGATGCTGTGGTTTCAGCTCAGGTGGATCAAATGTCATAATAACAAACCTAACCACATTTTCAAGTTCAGATGCCAGGAAACCATCTTCCAATATGACCCCAAGGAGTACAACTAATTTTTCCAAAACAGGAACTTCAACATCACCACGCTGCAAAGTCACCAGTAAATGTTGAACAAGGTTGATTCGACGAAGAACTGTAAGGTTGTGATTCCTGTACCAATGCATGGACACAAGATGCTCTAGGAAATTTAAAAGTGCAATTTGAATGGAAACTGGGGCAGTCACCCACAATGTCCAGTCCAGCAAAACATGTTCTACCATATCCGCATTTGACAAGACAATGCAGTTAGAAGTTTCAACTGGCATATCAGCATTTTCTAGCTCTGAAATATGACTGAATGAATCCTTTGGGGCAGAAAAATCATCCATGTCAACATGAGATCCAACTGAAGATGTTTCATCACGGAACTTTGACAAACTAAGAACATCAAAGCTAGTTTCATGAATAGTTGTAGTAGGTGATATAAGAGTTTGAATATGTTCCAATTTATTTGGTTCTGAAAATGAAGCTTCACATGCAGCGATCTGGAAAAATATCTCAAGGCACTGCATATCAAATAATGACATCCTTTGGCGCAGGAATAGAGCTAGCAAATGGTATCCCCTGTATGTTTGCATGTCTCTTACATTTTGAGGATTGTGATGAAGTGCACAGGCGAGAAATGAAAGGGCCATATGGAGCATATCCCTAGTCTCAGCAGCCTCAACAAGGGCCAAAATAACAGACATCCCACCAACAGGGCGGATGGTATCACCAATCACACATTGCCTACAGATATAGATATCCCCATGAAGACGCCCAAACCGTGGTATACCTGCATAGACAACCGAAGAAAGAATGGTTCCGATAAGATGAATTTTCAAAATGGTCATTTATAAAAGGGAAAAAATGGTTATTCACCTCCAATCGGAGACGCAGCAGCTGACAGTGGATCAACCAAATTGAGCATGAATGATGTCCCAGATGCTCGAACAGCCTCCACACATGTTCCATCAAAAGCAAATATGAGTTTTTTACCAGAGAGCTGAAATGAAAGGTTTCCTAATCTATCCAAATCCCAAACAATTCCACTTCCATCTGCCTTGGAGTCTCCCAGCTTGATTGCACTGTCAAGTTTCTGTGTTCCAGGAGGTACAGACAAGTCAGCCTCTAATGAATCTAAGATAGCCATGCTACCACCACCACAAGCCTGGTTGGGGACAAAACGGAGAAGATCTGTGTCTTGGAAAAGCCCTCTATATCCTCTACCAACAATGTACATGAAACATATACAACCTGGCGTGAGCACTTCCTCAAAAAGATAGCAACAGCGAAGTCTCCAAGTCAAGTCACAAACCCTTGCACAAGTAACAGGAGTCCCAATGGTTACCTGCAAAGGTTTTCCAATGGGAGAGGGGGAATATCCTAATTTTCCTGTGTGCCTTAGCTTCCCATCAAGATAAACATAAGCAACACTAGCTTGGAATAATCCAGCAAGGGCATTAGGTTTGCTATGAACAACAGCAAGGTGATGCCACCGGCCTTCCTCCAGTTCCAATCCAGAAAATGATAAGGAGCAAGAGTTGCTGGTTGCAAGGGTAAGAACACCATCCTCTTGAAGAAAAAGTTCCGCATAGAAAGTATTCTCGTTACTTACTGCACCAACAGAAAATATCCGGAGAATATGCCGGTCATGATGACCATTAGAGCCACTTTTCCTCTTGGAATGACCAGCTTTGACAGGCTCAATTTCTTTTGCTTGTGTTCTCAAAAAGTTATGAAACTGAAACCAACAAACAAATGAATAACCAGCAGCAGGAGGCCAAGATCTTTCTCCCAGAGACACCTGAACAGAAGCATGCCCAACCTTGCTCATGTCCATCTCAACAAATGGAGCCAAAGAAACATTTTCCAAGGCCATATCTTCCATAAGGATTAACCTTTCCATCATATCAACAATTGTATGACCTGATTTCATCAGCCTCATTGGCAGAATATATCTTACAAGTGCCCGGAGTTCAGATGCGGACAACCTATACCAGAAATACAAACCTTATCTCAGAAATAATAGAAGACCAACAAAAACTAAATAGATTGAGCAAATATAGTGATTCATAGATGACCACCAGCATACCTATATGCCCCTACAACCTCTACAATCTTCAAAGTATAAGAGAGTAATGGTGATGAGCCAGAAAGGAAGGGGTGAATTGTCTCCAGTAAAAGTTCCACACAACCTAAATAAATTATAAAAGCAAAAAGTAAGAAATTAATGTCTGATATAGAAAAGAACGTCATGGCAATAGGAGATACTTTCTCACCTACAGAGCTGAGATTTTCCTGATTGAAGGGACCAGAACGAGCAAGCTTCCCAATAAGGTTCAGCACTTCTAACTGCACCTTAGGAGTAAAAAGCAACAATGAACGGATCAGAACTCTAACAGCACCAGCATTGTATATTCGTTCCTTATCAGGATTAACCAAACCAGATGGGGTGGTTAAAAGAAAACTAGTGGACTCATTTTCAGCCAGATCTGCTGATGTGGCACTCTCTGGTGTCATGAAAGGTGGAAGAACAATTTCAAGAGCAAGTTCCAACAGCAGTTGTATAACTTGCTTCTCATAATCCACACACAGCATGCCAGACTCAGACAGAAGATCATAAAATGTTTGTGATGATATGATAGCATGCAATTTTGTCCTATTAATGGCATTACCACACACCCCAGCTGTCATAAGGCGCAACAAATATGTGAAGACTTTGATGTAAACTAATAAAGAAGATTCTTCTGAGTGTCCTTCATCACCCTGAAAGCTATGGAGGGTGGTCAGCAGAAGAGAAAATCCAGTGGCTTCACCAAAGAGTCTCTGAGCTGCATTATTTACTCCCAGAATTCGCCACAAAGCTCCCATTGTATCGCATTTTGCATCACTTTGAAGCTTGTATTGATGTCCTGAAACACTAGTAACCATTCCACTCTTTAAAACTTCAACAAGTGCTCCTAATTCTTCAGGATGACCCTGGGAAAAAAAGGAAACCAATTTGGTGTGACCAAAGGCAAAATAACAGCTGTACATGTGCAGTTTACTCCATGCAAAGGGATAAGGACATTGAACATTAGATCAATTGGAAGTTAAGTTCCAGGATGCTCATCAAGGTACAAAAAGAATAAAGAAAAATGTGAAAAAGGGGAGAAGAACAATATTCTTGAATGCAAGATCTATCCAAATTTAAATATCAAACAGGAGAACAAGCATCTTGACAAACCTGCATAGTGTCTTCAGTGATCAAACATGACAATATGCGGAGGACCCCAGGACGATGAATATTGGACACCAGGAAGGGGAGAACAGTGGTCACACCATTGGCAGATCGGAATGAAGCTTGATTGGCTTCAGCTTTTTTTACTAATGAAACCATACAATCCCAAGCAACAGCAACTGTACCCTCAACTTCGAAAATGGGAAACTTCCCTGAACCAGATTCCATAAGCTTGGGTGAAGTAATAATAACATCCTTACTGTCCAAGCGTTTCTTGAAGCTGCTGGAGTTGGATTTTCTCTCCAACTGATTACCATTACCATCATGTGGGTCTGGACCCAAAAGAAACTTATGTTGCTTCAAATCATCCAACAGGACTTCCAGCACACCTACTTCTCGTAGGACTTTCTTGTATTGTTGATCAAAGGATAGAAGCTTTACAAAAAAAGAAAGGATAGTGAGCTTTAGTTCTGATGTAATTGGTTGCTGCAATAAGCAACATAGAGACAGCAGTTCTTGCTCAGGAACGCAATTCACTACAGTCACAGCATATTCAAGAATTTTCAAGATTATCTCTTGCAATGATGAAGGAAATCCAGCCATGTTTAAGATCAAGAGAGGAACAGTCCTCAGTTGCTGACACAAATTATAGTTTTCAAGATGACTTGAAAATATTTTAAACATTCTGTTTAATACTTCTGCCTGCAGATCCCTGCTGTCTGCCTTAAGAAAAATGTCCTGCAACATCTGGACAGCTTCAAGGTCTTTAACTTTATTATTTCCCTGTTCCCAGATTTCATCACCAAGCCTGTCAGTAGATGATGTTCGACTTCTGCCATGGCCACTGGCCTTTGTGTGAGAATATTTGGATTTTTTGCCTTCAGCAGGACCAGTTTGAGCTAGGTTAACAAGAACATCAAGTAGCCTACTCAAAGTGGGTGAGAGATGTTCAGAAGAAGGGTCCTCTTTTCCAACTAAATCCTTTTCCCCTGCATTGTCAAGAGTATGAGCACTACCTAAACCACTATCTTTGTCAGTCCGAGGCCTCATATATATAGATTCAATGCCTTGATTCTGTGGCATGGAGGACAGAACTAGAGCAAACTGAACAAGGAAGTGATAACCATGGGCATTATGTATATCTTCCCTAAGCCTGACACCACCAGCCTCTACAAGTCAAAGTTGCATGATATCAGCAATAACAGAAGACAGGAAAAATATTAAATAAAAATCATCAAAAGCAAGAACAGCTAGAAACATTAATACTTTCAGAAGCCAAGACCACATAACTTACGATACATTAACAAATTCATACACTAACCAAAGTCATCTTAATCAATTCAACAAGGTAGCATTAGATAGCAATTTATGATCACCATGGTGATCCAATCAGCATAATGATGAGATTCCTAGAGATCTTAGATTACCATGTTTGGTGTAATATACAAATCACCAGTGATCTTGAATCAATGTGTTGGGTATTGCATAAAAAAATATCACCAGGCACAAAATAGCCAAAATAACCTTATTATTAATAAGAAGATTATTTAAAAAGCAAGCAACAATTTCAAATTTAGTAAATGAACAATTTATAAACTAAGAATCCATTGTTCTAAAAAGAATTATAAGGCATGAACCAGTTTTGGTGTGTACAATTTCCTAGAACAACCAATTATGGTTATTGGTGTGTTCCCATAAAGGTCAAAGTCACATAGGTTGCTTTGAAATTGAATTAGTTAAAAGGTGGATGTTAGCTTATAAAGACTGAAAATTTGGAGAGAAACACATTTTTGTGCCCACCATTACAAGGGAAAATCTGTCAGGAAATGATAATGGAGATCACTCCCCCTTGGTGATAAAACTTTTCCACCCTTAAGTGATCTACTCACTTACGGTTATCTAAGAGCACTGCCATGAAGGACACCCAAATTACTACCAAACAAGGTGATCTAATCACAGTGAATAGATCAACCTGGATTTTAAGGAAATCACCCATACCATGCCACTCATGGATAAATCACGAACCAATTACCTGGTCTATATGACAATTCCACACATTCAAGTAACAGGTCCACAATCCCAACAGTATAAGCAGGGTCCCCACAATCTGGATTAAAATCTTTAACAGCCATTAGAAGAACTTTCATCTGCACAAAAGAACAGCAAGGGAAACACATGTAAAAGGACATATTTGACAAATGACAAGGCAACAAGAAAATAAACCAAATACACACTTGAGAAAGATATAAATAAAAGATTGCTGAAAAAAAAAATGGAATACAATAAAGCAAATTTAACAGTTTAACTTGGTTGCATTGTGAGCATAAGAGATCTACATCGGATACTAAGGTAAAACTTAGGCTTCAAAAGGCATGGCTTCACTAGTGCCTCAAATGCTGAAAGGCAGATGATATACAACTGTGGCAGCCATGACCCAGGTTAGATGAATATGGACCGTGTCTGTCCATAGATCAAAAAAAAAAAAGAATCCGCATAATGCAGAAGCGAAGTGGACGAGAGAAGACACTTGACAGGCAGCATAGAGGCTCCTCAAAATAAATATCCCAATCTCTTACAAGTCAACCACTGCATCTTATCAAAAGCTTTACTATTTCTTAGTTCAAATGCAGAACACAAAAACAAGTGGAGCTTTTCTCAAAGCCAACCATCTAGGATATTACAATTAAGAATTCCTTCGTTTTAATCTTTAAGAAAATTTATGCAACAAGGTGCACCTATTAAACAGTAAGTAGGCAATAACAAATGACATGCAAGCACTATATTAAAACTATGTAAGAGGGAGAAATACCTTCCAAATGTATGATCTTCTTAAGAGAAGAACATTTTCAAATAGGTAATGAAGGTTTAACTCCTTCAGGGTTTCTATTAAGTCTTTGTCTTCAAATAGACCACATCAACAATAATTGGGAGTTGATACCAATAAACATAGTGAATTTGATCACCAGATATTTCTCTCCAGTGAATCAATGTCTTAACCAAAATTACCCAAAAGAAGCCAACTAAAAGGAAGCTTAAACTCCACAGCAATCAAGTAGCAAGTTAATTGAGCTACCATCACCACTGGACTTGAGTTGATGCCCAGACAAAGAGACTTAAGGAAGCAACCTACCATTTCATATACACAATTCCACATATGTCAACACTCGCACCAACCATCAAACTGCCAAAAAAAGTCTTTTCCACTTTTAAGTTAAAACAGGATTCTACCTTCACTTAAATCATGGACTCCACTATTCTCCAAATTTTTGCCTAAATTGCTTTAGTAAAGCCCCAAATTGACACACAATTCCTAGCTTGCTGCCTATATAATTCATCACTATTCATTGCAAATCAACAGCAAACAAGCCTTAAATGTAAAGACAAAAACATGATCCAATGACTAAGATCCTTTAAAGAATAGGAAACTATATTTAAAAGAAGAAGAAAATTTAAGAAACAGCATCCAGCAAGCAACATTCTTCAGATATGCTCTTGAAAATTTCCATGAAGGCATACCAGATGATGTTTGTGTATGTATTTGGCCGTGCTTCCATTATCATTGACCAAAAGAAGTCCAAGGATCTAGAAGAAGAAGCAAATTATACGAACAGTTGTTAAATATCAGCACATGATGCTCAATGAACCTCCTTCAAACTAATTAAGAACATTTATATAGTAAGCACAACAAGTTTACCTGCATAGCATGTCTATGAAGTTGTATGATGTGCAGTGAAACAAGACCTTCCTTATATTTAGAGAAGACAGTTAAAGATCCATTGGCAACCATTTGAAATAGCAACATCAGAGAATCATCCTCGATCAAACTCTGTGCTGCTGAAGGATGGTTTGCCAATGCTTTCATAATATGCACCACGATTCCTTCTACCTGCATGAATAGCAAATAAGTTTAAAGTCAAACAAAAAAGTATTATTCAAGTCACCTACGTCATAAAAATGAGAAAAAAAATCAGGTCAATACTGTGCAATAAGATATCTTCTTTTTTTAATTTTAAGCAGCAAACAATAAAAGGCAAAAGTATCTACACACATGCCCAAAGACGTGCATCACATATACATACATAGATATGTGTGTGTGTGTATTCAGCGTACATAAAAAGCAATTAGAAGTTCAAGAAATCACAGAAAGAAAACTACCTCGAGTTGGCGGGCTTGCCTAACATCAGCAACTGAATCCTTTTCAGCTAGCATTGATTCCTCAGAGTCAGTAATTTTAGGCCCCTGATTAGCCTCATCAGGACTCAAAAGAGTATTCAGAATATGTATGAGACAGCAAAATATCCCAGAATCAAGGAGAGATTGTTTATCAATAGGCTGCAAACAGCAGAAAAAATAATGATAAAAACAACCAATAGTGTTTAAATATCAGAAAGAACAGAATTTAAAATGCCAAATGTGATGTAAAATTATAAGTTAAGAACTACTCCAATTCAACCAGATCAGTTCAAATAAGCCAAAGTAGGTTGGTTAGTTTTCCAACTACTTAATTCAAATATCATTACAGTTCATAGTATCTTTATGTTGGGATATATAACACAAACTTGTTCCAAGAAATATAATGACATCATCCCATCTACATAACATCAATTAAGCTATTAGAATTTAATGAGATATACCCCAGACACCAGGACTTCAACAGCAGTCAACAAATTTGAACCAGGACTGAAGCCATCCTGCAGATCAGCACACATAAATGTGACGCCAATAAGAAACCCACAAAGAATATCGACAATAAATTCATTCAGATATAAAGAACTTGGATCCCAGAGCCAAACCTTGGTGACTTCAGAGAAAAACTGTAGAACTTTCAATACATCCAAAGATCTTGTTTTGCTGCTAATTTTTAACTTTTCAATATCTGTTACAAACGCTCTTCCCACAACAAAAGAGAATATATGTGTTTCTACTAACCTGTAATTAATTAAAGTTCTTAATATTAGTCAACACGCTCTAATTAATTAAAGTTCTTAATATTGGTCAACACGCTCACAGTTGGAGAAAGACAGAAAGCAGTAATATCATTTGAATAGAGACAACCAATTCATACCACTAGAGATGTACAGTACTGAGCTAATACAACTATTCAGCAAACAAGCACAGTAACGACATGAACTATTCTCAAAGGAAAATACAAAAATGATTAATACTATTCAAATGGCACAAAGAAATTGATTAATTGACAATTTCTTTATGAGATTTGAAGCAGAAGCTGATGAAAACTTAAAACAATCCTCATGAGAAGCTAATATTTGGAAGGAGAAAACTATATCAACCAAACACCCAGTGTCTACATAGTATGAATAGTCAAAATTTGTATTAAGTTACACAGTAGGGGTCTTAGCTAATAATTATGCTAACCCCACAAAAAATCTAAATAATTATTAGAAAGTAGAAAGAACAAAATCATTCTAATAGCAATCAGATCAAGTCACGACAAGAATGAATCATAAAAAATGACTAACTATCAAGAGATGTGATGCAACTTCAATATCAGGAGAATGAATTTAGATACACAAACTTCAGAGTAAGGCAACTTTGAAATGTTTTCTGAATTAAAAATGGCAATAAAGTTATAATGCTGCTGAGTTTCTCAACAACTCAAACAAGTAGGTGAACAACAGGACAGGACAGAGCAACCTTGGGCAACAGTACTTGACAATGTGAAAGGGCATGAAAAAGTTTTCCTCAACAATCAGAACAAAGTAAAAATCCTTGACAAATTATTCAGACAAAATAAACAATGCAATATTAACAAAATAGACTAGAGGATCAGCAATCATACAGGGTGACTAATTGAGCTGCATTAGCATGCTGCTTGACTAATCTACAAAAGGCATCTACAGTCAAATTCAAGGCCGCTTCTTTCTCCTGCAAAGACAATACAAACATAAGGAAAATCAAAATGGTACATAAAAGGGTGCCAGGATTTAAAATATGGACGAAAAAGAACCTTTTCAGAATTGGATGAGCGGAACTCTTCCCAGAATCTCTTGAAGTCCAATTCCAGTTCATGTTTGTCTCTGCTGTCACAAGAAAAAAAGTAAATTCATTTAGAAAGAAATGTCACATCCATAAGCGAAAGCAGTGGAAAGCAGAGAAAAGATGGCACTTTGCCACAGTTTTTAAGTTTAAAAATGCAAGTTAAACAAAAATTGAATCTAGTCACTTTAATCACAATAAAGGAGAAGGAAATTATGAGTATAATATATGATTAGATACTGCACAAGAACAAAAATAAATGGTAGAGTGCAATAATTGAAAGTTGAAACCTAATTGCAAACACCAAATATTTTGCATAATATCATACTCAACAAATTGGTATAACAGGACAAACAAAGGGCTATTATCAACTCCCGATTTTAAAGAGAACAAAAAGCAGTAGCGTAGTAAAGGGTCTTACACTATCACAATTGAGTCTTGGTTTGACTAGAATTTGAAACCTTATTTGACTAAAATTTTAGTTTGCATACAACGTTGAATAGTTGTACAGTTTTAAACTTCTTGTCCTGCATTAAGACCTAGTCTTATTCTAATTTGAACTTTCATATCATAAAAGTAGTCCTCTAGATTTTAAGAAGTTAGTAGAGCTTTTGGGAGCCTTAGAGATGTAAACATCTTGTATTTGTCTTCTACACTAGGCGTAGCTAACGTGGGTGACTGGCGTTCTTGTGGGACTATTGAGAGAGGGTGTACAAAAGGTCTTTGAGTTCGTTCGGGAAGCCATATAGTGAGATACTATTGTACTTTAATTTCTCAATAATAGAAGAATTATTTCACTCTGGATGTTGGAAAGTAGTTGAACCACGTAAGTTCTTGTGTTTCCTTTTGCTTTATTTCACACTGGTTTTTTTTTTCTTGGAAAAAAAAGGACAAATTACCAGACTTATTTCTTACAAAAGAACATCCCTACATCCTTGATTCCCGTTATAAATGATATTCATGTGCTATTTATCGCTGTCCAAACCTAAACATTTCAGCAAACTAAACATCTATGCACTGATAAACCAATCATCCACACTATTCCAAGCTGTAAATGCAAGCTCCCACCCAAGACTGATTTCAAAATTACCTTCCATTTAGATCACTAAACATAGGTGTCTAACTCATCTCAAAATGCCCATGAGGGAAGTTTAGGCATATGGATTTCAGGTGTAAGAAACATTTCAAAACGAGGAATAAAGCAAAGGCATAACTAAACTTCAGTTGCTCAACAATTTAAAAGACACAAAAAAAGATAATAAAATATCTCTGATTAGTCAAAGAAAGATGTAGCATTCATCCTATTGCAGGCCCATAATCCTATCGTCAGTAACTGCCAACTAAATTCTTATTGCTCTTCCCATTACACTAATCAGACTTTCACCAAAGTTTTGGTCCAATCATTTTGCATAATACACTTATCTATGCATTTTGCTAATAAGCAAACCATCATATGTAGCTCTAATAACTTCTATGGATTATTTCTGACTCATCTTTTTTCTGTATTTGTTCCTTTCTGTTTGCATCCTCTCATGCTCTTTTAGTGGAAATAGCGATCCAGAACTAACTGAACTTGCTTGAGTTAGCCCGGCCCTACAACCTTATACTATAGTGACCCTAGCAGATAAAATACTATCCTACAATCACCAATTCTCGCCACAAGACTACACATTGGCACCTAAAAATTAAATTCAACCATGCATAATAGCACAATCAACAGTATCAAAAAGCTATCCACAATTAAATTTAAATCTTTAAGACTTATTTCTTGTAGAAAATGCACCAATATACTTAAGAGCATCTCATCCTTATCTTATCAAAAACATAAATAAATAAACAAACCACGCGCTACAACTGAATTTGTACTTCTAATTGCCCAAAATATATTGCAGATCAACGTTAAAAGCAGTCAACGGCAAGTAAAGAAGATGAAAAAACACAAACGGCAAGGAAATATATAAAGCGTGCAGCTATGATTCTACCAGTTCATCTCATAAATTTAACCATCATTCACTGATGGAAATGCAAGCAAGGAAAAATTTTCAAAAAAAAAAAAAAGGAAGAATAAGAAGAGTGAAAAAAAATAATAAATCAAACCTTGAAGGAGAGGAAGCGAAGTCATGGCGAGTTGAGGAAGCATTGGCATCGCGATTGGAAGAGGAAGAAGAGGAAGGAGAAGAAGAAGAAACAGTGGTGGCAGTAGGAGATTGAGCAAACCGACCTTCTCTTTGATGTCCTTAAGCAATGATACCCATTTCATCGTTTTCCCTTTCGATCCTTGAAACATTTACATGCGCCTCCCTCCTCTCATCCGACGCCGCCGCAGCACCAGATCCTTACCCTTCTAGAAATCCCGTCTAGAAGATCTCATCTACTCAGCTTGCGATTTATCCCCCAACCAGCACAATCCCAAACCAAAAAAATTAAAATAAAATCAAAAAATGGAATATGAAATAAATTATAAATTTCCAAAGAAACCGCGTGAATACAGCTGGAAAATGTGATTAACGGATCGATCGGAATTAGGGTGAAGATTCAAAGCAGAAGGGGATCTGCGATTAATCTGTCCTGTTTCTTCTATTTTCCGTTTTGCCGTCTTAATTTTTCTATTTTTTCAAATTTCTAGTCGTTTGATTTTTCGAAGAAGAAAATACAAATGTGTATTTTATTTTTCGAACCCTAAAATAGGGGAGAGCTAATAAAACGCTACTTCGGTTAAGAAAAATGAAAAAGACGATGATGAAGATCAACAACACTCAAAAAATGGACTTTCTCTCTGTCTCTCTCTTGCTTTCTCTCTCTTCTCGGCTGATTTTGGACGGCCACTCCGCGCCTTGTTTCTCGCTCTATATCTTTCCTTCTCTGCAGCCTTTCTTCATTATTTTTTTCAATTAATTTTAGTAGTAGGAGTATTTTATTACTGTACCTTTTTTTAATTGTTCCTCGACCACGTCAGCGGGGTATCTGTGACTGCTTCGACTTCCACGTGGGGTCGAGATTGACGAAGAAGACGTGCGGCCATCGTTCCGGTCTGTATTCGGTCCCCAGATTGGACGGCGCAAGATCAAACTACAAACCGGTTCGCCGGTGTATCAGCGACCTTTTTACCTGTTTGAATTTCTTTTTTTTTTTTTAATTCTGTTTGATTTTCGTTTTCAAACTGATATGCTGCAATTTGGCAGGGGACAAAAAAAAACAAAACAAAACAAAACAAAACAAAACTGATGATAGTATTATTATTTTTGGCGTTATAGCATTCCTTAATGACAAAGGCATATCTTTAAAGTGTCTCTAAGCTGCCCCCCCTTACTGGAAATCTAGTGTACGCTTTTGTTGTAACTAATAAATATTTTAGTATTATTATTATTATTATTATTATTAAATTAATTAATGGATAAAGCTGAATTTGAAGTTTGAACTTTTGAACCTTACTTTCCGTTGCATCCACCCCGTTAAAAGCAATGTAGTATAGTTAATAAAGTTTCAAAAAATAGAGAAGTTTTCAAGTGAAGATTGATAAAGCTAATCTGTGAGTTAAGGCAGAAATATTTTTTTCTTTTTTTTGATAAAATATACGTAAAGATGTCAATAAATATTTTATAATTAATTATTTTATATTATTTAACTCAATTTAAAAAATTATGATATCATATAATCGAATTTAAATAATAAAATTATTACTTATTATAGGTTAGAGTCGTACTCTTAAAATATTTATTTTTTGAATTTGATTATAAATAGTGATTTTTAATATTAAATTTTAATTTTATATATTTATTTTTTTATTTATAAATTTTGTATAATTAATGTAATATTTATTAAATTTTATTAATTATCATAAATATAATTTTATAATTTAAATTATTAATTTAATAATATACATAAAAATTGATTTTAATTACATATTTAACGAGTAAAGGTTTAACGGGTAATGTTTAGGACAATTTCAAAATTTAATAGAGCATTTATAAGATTTTAATATTTTATCAAATAATCAAATTCAAATTAAAATACTTCAACAATAATGAATATTTTACCCTTAACATCCTTACACAAGTGAAAGTAGTACTAGTAGTAACTAATACTTACTACTACTAGCCTTCTTTTTTTTTCTTTTTTGGTAAAATGAGATTCGTACCAATTGCACATCATTGAACGTAACTTCTTAAAGTCATATGTAAGGGAGATCAAACATGCATTCAGCATTTTTCCTATTTAAAAAAAGATATCAAACAAGCTTCTGAAAGGAGATGTCAACGTCATTCAATTTTCTTTTCCGCTAAGGCACGTAATAAAAGGCTATGTTTTTATTGTGTTCAACTTACAAAAATTCAACCCCTAAAAAAGATTACCAAAAATCTGCTTTTCATTTAAGCTCTATTCATTACATTATTTATTTTATTTCTATTGCAAAGTAAATACAAATAATAATTTGTATCCCCTTACTGTAAAGCTGGATTCAAATCTCCACCACTAAAAAAATTAGGGTATAATTAAGTATAAGCCATAACACTTTTGTTTACTATATACTAAACAAACATGTATATCGTTTATTAGAAAAAAAAAAGCATAATTAAATTCATGTGCCACCTGCATACTCCATAATGGTAGTAGCCCTTTTTCTCATTAACCCTAGTTGGTTATTTAAAATAAATAAATAAAAAAAGAAAAAACACTGCAGGGCCTTCAATAAGACGGTTGTGGCTTTAAAAACTCCTTCATTGCATTGATTACCACATCTGGCTACGTTATTCACTTTCCTCCTGACACGTATATATTGGAATTTAGGGAAAAAAAAAACTTTCTGCACAGTATCTATATAATGGACATTCCTTGCTCTCATATTAAAGCCAAAGAGAAAATTAGGTGAATCGAAATCCGACGGAGGACCTAATCAAAGGTAGCAGCAGGCGGAAGTAATCACCCCTTTTAAGCCGTAAGAGAGAACAGAGTAAATTATAGGATAAGCGGGTCAAGTCAATCTATTTCATTCCAAGTTGCTTTTTCTTAATCCCAACTATAAAGTGAAAAGGAAAAAAAGGGTAGGTGAGAGTCATTAACCCATAATCTGTCAAATGAGAAGGCAATTCAAGTATTGGATGAGTGCCAGACTCTGTGATCAACAAAGAAAAAAAGAATAATGGGATAAAATTCCAGGTCCTTTTCATGTTGCTAACTTACTTGTTACGCGTTACCTAGCAGTCACGCTACGGTGCTTCTGGTAAATAAATTCGGCCGTAATTAAGAGTCAATTTTAGCATCTCTAGAAATACAAAGTAAAGTAGTAGTTTTGTATTCGATGAACTAATAAGTGACGATGCGCACACTCCCCACTTCTGTCTCTAAATGAATAATTATTAAATTGTTAGAGAGGAAATAATTGCCTTAATGTACAGAAAAGTAAGGGAACAATCATGTTTTGTTAATGGATTAATACCTAATTTGGTATTGATGTTGTTATTGAAAAAGCTCGAATTGGGGAAAATGTGTGTAAATTTGTGATTTAAAATGTTTAAGTTTTGGATAGTTTCTTATTTGTGAAGAGTTAAAATATATAAAAGGAACGCCATATTGAAGAGTAAAGAATAAGTAATTTTTAATACTATTTAAGTAAATTATTATTAAAAGTGTATACAAAAATATAGTATTGTAAAATTTAATTTTAAAATTTTCTACAAAATATAATTTTAAAATTTTCTTTAAAAAATTTAAATTACTTCAATTTAGAAAATAAATAATTATCTTTCTTTTATATTTCATTTTAAGTTCGAAATATGTCAACATAGCAAAAAATGAAAATTCTATATATTCAAAGTAAAATTTAAAAAAGATGATAGTTATTTTTACACCAAAAATTAATCGAAGGGTAATTTTGTAATATTTCCAAATAAGGATAAGTACTTAGTAATTTGCTGAAACCATGTTGGGTTTGATATTAAGTTAGCTGCCAAAAACTACATTTTAAAAATAAAATACAATGCCAATGCCACCTCTAAGTAATCTTAGGCCATAGCATGCCTCCCCCACATCTCTTTGCATGAATTCCGAAGCGTAATCTCCCACCAGTCCCGTGATACTGTCCCAATTAAGACTTTAAAAGATATGCTAGAATTGGGCCATTTTTCCCCATTGCATCTGGATCGCGTGTAACCCACGGCAAAGACTATGTTTTTTTGTTCTGTAATAAAAAATAGAAAATGTTTAGTACTTTTTTATTGGCTTTTTTATCACATTTATTATCATCTAAAATATAAATTCAAGTTCTATGTGCAAAAGTATACTCCAAATAATATAAAATATTAATAAAATAATAAAAATTTAAAAAATGAAACTTATTCAGATGGTTTGAGCTAGTTGAAGTGTTAAACATGCCAAGCTGCGCGTGCAGAGATGATGATTGAAAATGGAGAGATTTGAATGAAAAAACGATTACTAGAAGGATTAAAAGAAAATATCTGTGGTGAGGCCCCACCGCAACACAAAGCGCGTGAAAGTGGAGCCCACGCCTACAATTTTTGGAACGTGAGATGGAAGCGAGACTCGCGGGCTAGAAGGGAAAAGGCGGCAAGAAACTGGATCTTAAACCCTTTTCACATTTGCTGACTTTTTTTCTTTCGATTTTTTGAATGTTTCCGCTTCCCCTCCTTTTTTTTTCCGCTCCCTCCTTGATTAGTAGCATTACTTGCGCAAATTACAAATCTGGTGGCTTGAAAGGTTCAATTTTCGAACTAGATGATGCTAGTATTTGAATTGGCCATTTGGCCTACCTTTAGCTCTTTAATCTTATCAAACAAAATTGATGACATCTTAATTGACATTTTCATATTTGACCATATCCTATTTGGCTCTTCTTTTTTTTTTCTATTGTCACCACCAGATCTGGAGAGCCATTTGCTGAGGATACCTCATTGACTAGTTGCATTGACAGAAAGTTGGGGAGGAAAAAGGCTGATAGCGGTGGGTCATTCGCTTGGGCCACCAAAACTTGTTTAAGGAAGCCTTCAAAGTGTTTTCATGTTGGAGTTAAATTGACATTTGATTTGAATACTTAATTAGACTTTAGTTACTAAAACTCGTAGGATTTCTCAACCTAATACAAATACTGAAATAATAATACATACGTGTACAAGGGTGTACTTATATTTGCAAGATCATGCATATTCATTTATGTATTAATTGATAAATTTAATTATTTGTAACAATAATAATATAGTTCTTATTTTTTCAAAATAGAGAAAAAAATGTTGATCAAATTTGTGCTTTGAACCGTGAAATTACATATCATTCATTGTAGCAAATGTTTTTGGTATGCATATTTTCTTTCTAATCATATTAATTAAATATCAAATTCATAAACTAAGCTAAAACATTATTACACAAGATGTAGTTGGAAGAATGGGAATTCGATGACACCTAATATGAAAGGAATGATATTTGTGTTGTCATTGTGCCACGATAATGAAAGCCATTACTCCAGAGAGAGGACGGTAATCATGTCTATAATCGATTCACATCAAGCAAGTTCTTGCCTAGTGTCATAATCATTATTATTGATCCATGGACAATAATTTTTTCATTTTTGGGCCACAGATTCATGGAACATGGTTGGGATACCTATAAGCTTAGTTGATAATGGTATAATTCGTGTTTGTCTAATGTCATACTATATCGACTTTAAAATAAGATTATTATAAGTGACATCATTTTTTATTTTATTCTTATACATTTATATTAAAATTTTAAAAAAATTAATTTTAACTTTAAAGTGCATCTTACTTATTTATGTTAAATTATAATTAAGTTATGCTTATTCTTATTTCATTATGCTTAAAATCATTATAATTTATTATAAATTGATTACTATATTTTTTACCCATTTTACGTAAGATGTTATGTATCTTTATCTTTATGTTTAGACTTTTACATTAAAATTTAAAATATATTAAATTTTAAAATATTAATATTTTATTTAATTGTGTAACATTCTATTTTTTAGGTAAAAATTATTGTTAGTTAGTTTGAGGGATACAAATTATTTTATATAATTTTTCATCAAAAAACTAAATATTGAGTTGTTTTATTTTACAATAAATTATATGATTTTTTCATTTTATTATGACACGTTTATTTTTAAAATTTTTAAGAAAGATAATTTCAACTTTATGGTGCCTTTTACATTTTAACTTTAAACTAAAAATATGTTATCCTTATTGTCACATTTTATCAGGTTTGTGATCATCATAATTTATCTTAAGTTGATTATAACATTTTTTACTCATTATACATCAAATATTACATATTATTTATCTTTATTCTCACACGTTTACATTAATATTTAAAAATATTATCTTTTAACATTAATATTTTATTTAATTATGTGACAGGTAGTTAGTTTTGAGGGATGCAAATTATAATAATTTTTTTTAAAAAATTAGATTTTTTATTTTCTAAAATTTGTAAGAAAGATATTTTCAACTGTATAGTGCCTTTTACTTTTTGAGTTTAAACTAAAAATATGTTATACTTTTTAATTTCAATTAAGAGAAAGGGCATTCGAACCTTTTTTTCTAAACTCATGCATTAACTAATAAATCAAATACTCAAGTGCATAAAAATATGTTATACTTATGTTACCTTTCATTACATTTATAATAATAATAGTTTATGTTAAGTTGATTATGACATTTTTTACTTAGTTTATGTCAAATATTATATATTTTGATCTTTATTCTCATACGTTTATATTAGTATTTTAATTTTTTTAACATTAATATTTTATTTAATTGTGTGGAATTATACTTTTTGGTAAGAATTCTTGATAGCTAGTTTGAAGATACAAATTACTATAAAAATTTTTTCAAAAAAATTATTGGATTTTTGATAAATAAGATAAAATTTTACTTTTTATTCCTACACATTTATGTTAAAATTTTAAGCATATAATTTAAACGTTATGGTATATCTTACTTATTTACATTAAATTATAATTAAGTTATGTTTTTTCTTACTTTCTATTACATTTAAAATTATTATAATTTATTCCAAGTTGACACTTTTTATCCGCTTATTCAAGAGTTTAATTCATCATGAGCTAAAAAATAAATATGCAACTGTTTTTAATCTTTACTTTATTTTGTTTCCCTTCAAATTTTCCTTTATATTTTTCAAACGAAGTATTGAAACGTAGCGAGGTCATAATTCGGCCCATGAGGTTTCCTTGTTGGAAAAGAATAATCCTCTTATTCGGCCTTTTTGTTAAGTCCTTAACCTAAAAGGCCCAAAACATGGCTATTCATTGCCTCCGATTGGGCTCTTACAAATTACCATGTGAATTCGGTCAGAACCCAAAGAAAGCCTGGAGTCGCACACCGCATCGATCGCTCAACGGCTCATCAACCTTCAGTTATACAATGCTTGTTTTGTTTCTTGGCGAGAAAGTGAAAAACATGGGAGACTCTCTACGAATCCAAAGATTCCAACAACTTCCATCGGCTACAGAATTTGCCTCTCAGATTGAATCCCGAAATGTTCCCGCTGTAATCATCTCCGAACCCTTCTTTTTTATTTCTTTTCCGTCTGATTGTCGAGAGATGTTGGACCAAGCCTTTTATTTTTATTTTTAAATATATATTTTCGTTTTGCTTTTATACAGTGGCATTTGCTACAATCTGAGCTCACTGGTTTGTCTTCATTTAAAGGTGTTCGTTGGGTGCGTTAAGGGTTGGGAAGCTGTCGCCAAGTGGAATCCGTCTAGTGGCGGCCTCGAGTATTTGGAGGTTTTCTCTTCAATCCTCGCTTCTTTTATTATAAATTTTAATGAATTCTAAACTCTGGAATTGTTTTTGTTGATCTCGTGACAGTTTTTTTAGTAGAGAGAATCTTAATTAAGTTAAAAAAATAGAGTGAGTTACTGAGTTTGAAATGCAGAATTGGCAGTGATTCTACGATTTTAATAACGTATGTGATTAGTAACCTAATAAACAGGGGCTTTAAGTTACTCATGAAAAACATGATTGATTCGTTGGTGTTTACAATTCAACTTCATCAACTGAACTGTATTCAATCTTTTTGATTTGATTTGAACTATTTATTTTATAATTTTCCTTGATTATGAATTCAAATTTAGGATCGAGTAGGATCATTCATGGTGGAGGCTATGGTTTCTAGAACTGCACCGGTGTTTTATGGTGATCTTAGAAGCCATGAGAGGGTAATTCCATGTTCTCTGTGCATAAAGGATTGTGATGCCTTTTTGCTACTGGATGGCAGGACCGTGATCATTGTGTTTTTGCGTCTGTTTACAGGTTCCATTACCGTTTTCCACTTTTATTGGCTTTTGTAAGCAGCATAGGCAAAAAGTTGGAAATTCTTGCATCTCTAATTCTAATTCAGGAGGGCATCAACCAGGAGAATCAGACACAGAGCAAGGCTATTCACCATTTGTAGATGCTGCTCCACAACAAGTGTACTTAGCACAGGTTGCAACTCAAGGGTTTTATGATTGCTGATATCTCTGTTGATATTTTTTCTGTGATTCTTTGTTTTCATTTATTTAATCTGTTCAGGTCAGATAAACTTTTGCTTGGTACAGCATATCCTTCATTTTCATTTTTCTTTTCAAGCATTAATGTAATATTGAATTTGGATACTTTTGATTAAGGTTCCAATCATAAATGCTGAGAATGAAGAGAGGGTTCATCTGGAAACTTTAAGGGAAGACATTCAAATGGTCTGCTTCTTCCACCACTTCTTGTTGTTTACTGTTTAGCTCTCTAAAGAAGAATAACTAATGCAAGGATTGCAATTGCTTGATTTGCTCAGCCTGCAATTTTGGAGGAAAAAAATCTATCTTCTATTAATTTGTGGATGAACAATGCCCAAGCTAGATCAAGTGCTCACTATGATCCTCACAATAATCTTCTATGTATAGTCACTGGAAGGAAACAAGGTGAATCTTTCTCTCTTTTCTGTTTTCACAAATTAACTGTAATCTATAGATTATTGGTAACTTTGGTGCTCCTTTCCAGCTTTCTTCGGTGGGAGTTCTCATTTTTAATCTGTAAAAATCATAATTTGCATTAAATCATACATTGCAGTATATCGTAGTCTAACTCTTAGTAAACTTGTATTACTCAGCCACACAGTCTTGGCTCTGGTTATAGCACAGCTGTTATTCTTTTATTTTATTTTTCTGATTTGGAAGAAAGTTTAAAAACTTTTTCCTCATGCATTATTGATGCTTTTCATCTTGAACTCTTCATCTGAGTCCTGAAAGTGACAATTGGCTAGATGAACTTATTGACTGCAAGGATATGCATTTATTTTGGCTACTATTTCATTGTCTCTGTGTGTGTCTAAATACGTATACGCACAAACATCCCACTTCTCAGTGA